AGGTCTTCTGAAATACACTTGTATTTTCAGAAAAATGATGCTTTGAGGTTTTTTGTATCTCATTAGTATGTAGTGATAATTTTATATTAGTTGTTCTCTCTCTGAGAGTCGCCTGTTTCAATAAATCACTGCAGAATACCTCCCAAGTAGTTTAATGCGCTCCATTGTCTTTTTAATCTTTTGGTGAAAAATGTCAATGCACTGAAACACACACACACAAATGTATTAGTTATGAGAAAATGTCTCATATATAAATTAAATATTACATTTTTTAGGTCAAATGACTGGAAAACAAAGTGTAATCTGTAAAGTATACTCAGGCTTGTTTAGTAAAAGCAGCCTTAAATTACTTTAGTTGATTTTTATCCGCAGTACAACTGGCTTCTGCAAAGCCTATTTAAGTAGCACATTGTTCCAAATGTCCTTTTACATTATTTTTGCAGAATGTAATCAACAACATACTAAAGGTTGTTTACTTGAATTCCAAGGACAGCCCACATAATTGCATCCTAGAAATTTTTTTCAGTGAAATCCAGGGTTGTAATCTGGTGCTGACTTACACTTTAAACCCCCTACAAACTTGTAAAGAATTACTGTAAATAATTATGGGTCTTCTGTCCCTCAAATGAAGGACATTTGTCAATAAAGAGGAAGGGGGGGAGGACACGGGGAAGCTGCCAGAAGGGATAGTCTGCGTAACATCGATTCCAAGAAAACTGCAGAAACCTAGGGAAAATGCATACGTAATAACAGGCACCTGAGAATTCAGTAATTGCTCATTATGCAATTACACCTTAGGCATTTTAAGCAAATGCTGAAGAAATAATACATGGGAAAACCTGGCTAACCACAAAATTGTTTTTAAGGAGAATTAGGAAACTCTACACGTGGGTGCCATTGGGTCTTTGCTTCTCTCTCTGCTGGAACCCTGTAATCCTTATTAATCCGCTGTTTGTTCCTGGAAAGTACCTTTTCTCTGTCAGTAAAACCCAGAGTTTCAGTTGGATTAATCCATGCCCCTCAGCCGTGGCTGAAGCTGTATGGACAGACACATGGTTTTGACAGACATGACTCAGATTTTTGTAGGTGCTTTTCCTTGCTGTACACTTTGCCAAACAAATTAAAATAATAATAAAACCCAAACTTGGGAACGACGTTACCACAGGGTGCCAAATTCGCAGCGAAAAGCCCCATAGGCTCCTGTCATGCCAAATTTTGACAAGACTTGCCAAATGGTTTCTTCAGGATGCAGACTGCTTGCGAAGTGACTGGGCCCTTTGTGTGCAGCCGAATGCTGCAGATGGGAAGGTTAGGAAAGGGGTTTTTGCCAGGGAAGGAAAACTGGTTTTACCCTAGGAAGTTTCACCCGCTCAAATAAAACATAATTTCCTAGTACAGGACAGTGCTTGGTACCCTCAGCAGCTCTGCAGTGTTCCTGTGTGAAAGGAGTGCACCCAAAAGTAATGTCAAAATGTGTTACTGAAATGAAACAAACCCACCCCCAAAACAAATGAAAAGCCCCAAACCAGAGGCACTTACAGTGAATTTCAAACCCGAGGTCCAGCAAAAATAGGACAGATGTCTCCAGCTTATCAAATTTCCAAGCTGTACAAAGTTCAGGCACTGTTTAAGAACTTCAGATACGAACAAGCCTTCCCTGGCAGAGTAGGACTCCACGCGGATCTAAACCACTAGAAACCGGAGCAGAATGCCGA